CCGCTCTCCCCTTTGCTCCTCGCTGACGCGTCTGACCTCCTCCTCCTCAAGTGAATTCGCCGTCTCTGCTGGTCTCTGCGCCGCGCGCACGCGGATGACACAGCGGTGCTCCTTGCACGGCGGGCTCAATGCAGTCCCCGTCTTGGCGTCCATCTTCGAGGATTTCGGCCAGATTTCGGGCCTCCGGCTGAATATTGCGAAGACCCTAGTTGTCCCAGTCTCAGATTGCGACCCGCTGGAGCTGCGATCCGCCATAGCGGCGCTGGTTCCCGAGTGGGGCCAGCTCGGGATCGCGTCGCATGCGAGGTATCTTGGGTATGAGGTTGGGCCAGGCCGCGGGACACTCTCATGGGACGCACCGCTGAAGAAATTCCAGGATCGCGGAGAGCTGCGGAAGTCGATCGGCGCAGGCCTATACCTGACGGCCGCGGCCTACCGCACCTATGTCCTCAGCGTGCTTCTTTTCGTGGCACAGCTTGAGCGGGTTCCTGAGCAGGCTTTTCAAGTGGAGGCCCAGGTGCAGCTTCGCCTGGTCCCGGGTCCGGGGGACTGGATGTCTGCGCCAGCCTTGCAATCCCTCGAAGACCTCGGGCTTAATTTCGAGTTCGCCTCCCTGGATTTCTGCGCCGTGGCCGCGGCGGTTCGGACTTTTCTGTACGAGGACAGACAGTGCGGTGGCCTTCGAGTTCGTGACTGGGCGCGCCGACTATTCGAACGACTACATTCGTCAGACAGCGTTTCTCTACAGACTGTATCGTGGATCCGTTCATGCTCCCTCGTCCGGCTATTGGAGGCGGCGGGCACCGTCGAGGCGGCGGAACGGGCGCATCGATTCGTCTTTGCTGGACGCGGACCCGATGGACGACGAGGACAGGAAAACATGGCAGCGCCGGGCGCTGATGATCCTGAGGCCTTCGGGCAGCCCTGCCCGCGCTCACGCCCAGGTCAAATTAGCCAGGTGGTCCATAGATCTTTTCCCACGGCTCCGGGCCGACCGGCGGAGTGCAGTCTGCCAGTTGCTGGCGCGTCTGGCCCCTCTCCGACTGTGCCCCGCTTTCGTCCGCACGGCTTTCAACGGGAGGTGCACGGCGCGGCGTTGAATTCAGGGCAGGGCGGATTGCCTGCTTGGCTGCGGCCGCGGAGAGGATTCCATCGAGCACTACGCCTTTTGTGCCTCCTACCACTCGTTCTGCTCGCGCCACGCCGGTCTGGCACGGCCAGCGCTTGCGAACAGACTGGCGTGTCTCCGGAACCTCGGGCCTTCCCGCCGTTCCCGGCGCGGCGAGAATGATGCGGAAGAGGCGATTCTTTTATGGGCGTTCACAGTGTTCGCGGTGCACAGAGCTCATGGGGAGGCCCTCTGCGGCGCAGTGCGCGCCGGGGCTGTAGCGGCCGCCCTGCCCGCCCTGCTGCGCGAAGGCGCCCGAGGCTGTCCAGCTTTAGAGTCCCTGCTGCGTTCCGCCCAGCGGCGGCCGCGGGTTTCGTAGCCGCCTCTTCTCCCCCTCCCCTCCCCTTCGCCGACGTGCGTTTCATCCGCGACGTGATCAAATTCACAGATTAGTGAGCTGATTCACCATATCCTTGCGTGAAGTGTAATTTGCACTTACGGCCAGCCCGCCTGGTTTCAGGCTTTCGGGCTCAGGCGAACAACCGCCCCAATTTCCGCCCCGAGTTTCGGCCACGCTCGCAGGACACATGGTCTGTCGGCGACGGCGGTTTCTTTCTCTAGGCTGATGTTGGGCAACCACGCGCTACGCTACGGTACTCGACCCATACTTGTATCATGTTGTTGTCCTGCTCCCCTCTCATCCTTCTCTCCTGCCGTCCTTCCTCCTCCCCTCCCTCCCCCTTATCGCTGGTGTTTTTGTTACTTTTGGCATGGGCCAGGGTTTTAAGCAGCCGATGTGCGCAGCCGATGTGTGTGACAGCCGTTCTTGGCAACCACGCTGCCCGCTCTCCCTCCTCGTCTTCCTTTCTGTCATCGTCCTCGTCCTCCTCTCTTTTCCTCCTCCCGCCGGTGCTTTCTTACTTCTGGCATGGGCCAGGGTTCTAAGCAGCCTATGTGCGCGACAGCCGCTCTTGGCAACCACGCTGCCCACTTTCCCTCCTCGTTTTCCTCTCTGTCCTCGTCATCGTCCTCCTCTCTTCTCCTCCTCCCGCCGGTGTTTTTTTTACTTCTGGGACGTCGCTGTAAATAAAGCTGCTGGTCAGGCCCTACCGCGCCTCGCCAAGGAGTGCACGTGTTACTCGAGTGCGGTTGCGATCGTCCCCTGCCTCATGCCCCTCCTTCTTCTCCAATTTGTTGTTTGATTATTTTTGGGTATGTGGGGAGTATTTTTTTGTATCTTTAGATGTTTGCCCAAAATCCCCCTGTAGGAGGACAGGCCCGACTTAAGCCCAGGCAGGAGCTGCCACGCGGAGGCCTGTCTGTGCGCCGCCCTCTCCACCAAGTTCGCTCAAGCGACAGGCGCACGCGCCAGCTGTCTCCAGATCCTGCACCCGAGCTTTGCCTTTCCCTTCACCAAGCCGCCAGGGCGCCCTCGAGGGCGCGAAGTTATTCGCGTTTGTCGCTTCGCGGTTCGGCTCCGATTCCTCCTCATCCTCTTCTCCCTTGGGAGGCGGCGCGAGAGCGCGAAGTTATTCGCATTTCGCGCTTCGCGCAGCGCGAAGCGCGAACTTGGGAACCTTTGAGACCGCCGCGCTCATTGTCTACGGCAGCAGCAACAGTTGGGCCGTATCCTCTTCTACCGCACGGCATTGCGGCACTCTCTTTTCCAGCACTTCTCCGCTTTGAATTACATCAAACGGCAGGGCTCACAGCACGTCTTTCCATTCCACAGCCAGCATGTTGCGCCGGCTAGTTCATCACATGATGCGTATGAGCTACAGTGGGTCCGCGGTCATAGAGGACTTCCAAACCCGCCGCGCCTTTCTCACCCACATATTGTGTCCAAACGACGTGACGCTACGCAGCACCATATTGCGACAGCTATAGCGTCACGCAGTGGGTCCGCGGACATACAGAGCTCCAAAACCCGCCGCGGGCTTCTCACCCACAGTCTGCTATCTCACTGGTGTCTTTCAGCCATGCGCGGCTCCGGAACCCGCCGCAGCATTGTCACCCACAATAGTCCGGATTTGCACCAACTGACAGAGTCCTCATATGCGCCTCCTTGGTGTCAAACTTATCCCGCTATCTGGTGGGGCCTCGGAGGCACGCGACGCGAAGGGCCAACTGTCAGCGTGGCTTACTGAGGGCTCTCGCCGAACCTCCCGCTCCCTCCCCGCCCCCTTCTTCTGTGCAGGTTTGGCTCTGCCCCCGCCTCCTCCAACTTTTTCCTCCGCCACTTCTTGTGGGGCGGCGCGGACGGGTATCTGGACGCGGGGGGGGGAGGGCGTCCAAGGGGGCGCGCCGGCCGTCCCGGCTAGGGCCAGTGCGGCCGCGGTACGCGGCCAGATTCTGCCGACTCAAGCGCGGGGCAAAGGGCTCACAATCGCAACCCCGCTGCTATAGCCTCTTCGCCGCTATCTTGCCTTTGCCCTCGCCCTTTCGGCCACGGCTCCTGTAACAGCCACTTGCCGCTCGCAGCCGTCCTAGGCCCAGCCCAGCGCCTTCGCATTTCCACCGCCTTTGTCCCCCATCATGCCCACCGGTTGCTCAAGCTTTACCTCCTTTTCTCCGCGTCGCCTACTTTCGCCTTTCACTCATCTGTGGTTGCGTGTGCCAACATCCGCGGCTAGCTTGTCTGCCTGCAACTCGTTGCGACATACGTGCAGCCGCCGCCGCGTCCACCCGCCGCCCTCCAGCGCCGCCTACGCCAAACATCGCTCGGTGGGGGGGGCCTGTCGGGGGGATGGAAGCGGGAACCCTCCGCCAGCCGTCCCGGCGTCGGCCCGGGCGGCCGCGGCCCGCGGTGCCGCCAAGTGCCCTGGCGACCCAGACGACTTTGTCAAGCCGCGGATATCGCACCTCTCAGACCCCACTCGCATGCTGCCTTGCGTGTTCTCCCAGCCCCACTTGCGGGCTGCTGCTAGCACTGGCCGCTCGCCTTGCCAACCAATGCCGTTGTTTACAGCGGAGGCCCATGCCAAGAAGCACCCTGATCGCCACCAGGGCGCCCTGGGTTTCTCGGGTTTCGATGGTTTTGCTGCGGGAGGCGTAACGTTCCCACGCCAAGAGTCAATGGACGTCCTGGGGTCTCAGGTGTGGGTTTCTTGTGCCATGCTTTTTGTGGTCGGGCCTCCACTGTGAACCTCTTGCCCGTTGTGGATCCTCGGGTGGCCCCCTGTCGCGTCCACGGTAACCCTCCGCCCGCCTTGGCAGGTGAGGGTTCCCTGGCCGTGTCAGGGGGCCGTCCTTTCGGGGATCCTCTTTGGGGGGAGGGGGCAGTTGCGCCATTCCACGTTTGGCGAGCGTGGCGGCTCCGCCACGCTCGCATTGCCCACCTCCCTGATGCCTGCGACCGCACCGCCCCCCACTTCTCTTCTGGTCCTTCCGAGGTTAGTCGCAGACCTGTGCCGTCGCCGTCTTGTCGTCCCTCCTTCCCCCCCCTCCCCCTCGGGAGCGTCGGAGGACGTAGTGATTCCGCCCCCGTTCTCCCCCCCGCCGTGCCGCTTCGTAGTTTTGCCCCCTACAGAGTAGTTTGATCCCCCCCCAGGGCCAACGGCCCTTAGGGGGGCTATGGCGGCATCTTTGAAGCTGTTTCGTACCGTCATCGGGCCGTGTAGAGGTGGGGGAGGGGAGGAAGGAGGAGGACGACGGAGGAGGAGAGGAGGAGGAGGAGGAGGAACAGGAACAGGAGGAGGAGGAGGAGGAACAGGAGGAACAGGAGAAGGAGGAGAAGGAGGAGGAGGAGGAGGAGGGAAGGAGGAGGAGGAGCAGGAGGAGGAGGAGGAGGAGGAGGGGGAGAGGAGGAGACGAGGAGGAGAGGGTGGAGGACGGGAGAAGAGAGAGGAGGAGGGGAGGAGAGGGAGGAGGAGGAGGGGACGAGGCGGAGGGTCGACAACGAGCGCGGCCGCGGCGGGCCTCCTGGGCCCGGGCCCATCGCGCAACTGCGGGCGGACGCTGCTCGGCGCGACGCGCTGCTCGCAGTCCTACCCGTGGAGGCCGTGCCCATCGTCGACGTCGGGGTCGTCGTCGTCGTCGTCGTCGTCGTCGAAGTGTCGTCGACGCCGTCGTCGTCGTCGTCGACGTCGTCGTAGTCGTCGTCCTCCGTGTCGTCGTTCTTGTCGTCGTCGTCGTCCTTGCTACCTTCGTTGTCGTCATCGGATTCGTCTTCGTCGTCTTTCTCGTTGTTGTCGCCGTTGTCGTCGTCATCGTCATCGTTGTCATCGTTGTCGTTGTCTCGTCCTCCCTGTCGTCGTCGTTATCGTTGTCGTCAATGTGGTTGTCTTTCTTGTTCTTGTCGGAGCTGTCGTTGTTATCGCCCATCTCGTCGTCGTCGTCTTCGTCTTCGCCGTCGTTATCCTCCTCTGCTCTCATATGTCCTGGAGGGTGGAGGTGAACAAAATGGGAGAGCGGGAGCAGGAGGAGGGAAAATGTAGCGGTTGTCGTTTCCATGTCGGCCTTCGAGGGCCTCTGGAGACCTTGGTGTTGGTGAAGGGTGTGCGGGGCGAAGCGATTCAATCCACCGGGCCTTCGGGTTTTCGCAGTTGTTGGCCCATGTCCGTGTCTGCACTTCGGGGCCATCGAACAAAGATTCGGCTTCAAAAGCCAATCTCAGAGACGGGGTAAAGGCTGGGGTCCAGCAAGCCGCGTGTGGTCTGCGGGAAGAGGTGGAGTTGGGGGTCCCTGCGTGGCAGGACATCGAGGCGAAGGTTTTCGAGGTCAGGAGGAAGAAAAGGGAGGAGGCCGAGCATGCGGAGTTTCGGGGGTGGGAGGAGGATGGAGAAGGAGCATGACCACGAGCGGGCGAACAGAAGCAGGGCCAGGGGGATGAGGAGGAGGAGAGTGAAGGACGAGGAAGGGTGGGGGATGATGATGATGATGATGAGTATGATGATGATGAGTATGATGATGATGAGTATGATGATGATGATGATGATGATGCTGATGCTGATGCTGATGCTGATGCTGATGCTGATGCTGATGCTGATGCTGATTATGATGATGCTGATGCTGATTCTGCTGTTAATGAGGATGAGGATGAGGATGATGATGGTGGTGGTGGTGATGATGATGATGGCTGTGGTGGTAGTGGTGATGATGATGTCGAGGGTAATCATCTGATTCTAACGAGTGGTGCTGACGATGATGATGGTGATGATGATGCGGAAGATGGTGATGCCGCTGATGATGATTAGAAGGATGAGGATGATGTTGTTGCGGTTGCTGCTGCTGTTGTTTGTAGTGATGTTGATGCTGATGTCCATGTTGATGTTAACGATGATGTTGGTGATAATGATGATGCTGATCATGATCTTCAACACATTCATGAACATGATCACTGTGTTGATGACGATGGCGATAACGACGTTGATGTTCCTGTTGCCGATGGTGGTGATGATGATGGTGATGATTCTGATTATGGTGATGATGATGCAGAGGACGATGATGCTGCTGATGATGATGAGGTTGATGCTGGTTATGATGATGCTGATGATGACGATGCTATAGATGATGGCGATGACGATGATGATGATGATGACGACGATGTTGATGATGATGCCGATGCCGACGCAGCGGAAGATGCTGGTGATGATGCTGATAATGATGATGATGTTGATGATGATGACGATGATGATGAGGAGAAGGAGGCGACATGACGAGGACAACGACGAGCTCGACAACGATGGCAGCGGCGGCGCCGACGACTGCCAGCGCAGGCCTCCGCAGGCGAGCATGACGGGTTCGTGGAGGTGCCCGGCATGGACGCGTTGCCGCCGGACCAGCAATGCCACGAGGCGGGGGCCGACTGGCCTTTTTGCGCTGCCCAAGAGGGAATCCGACGACGACGACGAGGATGATGAAGATGATGATGATGATGCTGATGATGATAATGATGATGATGCTGATGATGATGATGGTGATGATGATGATGCTGATGCTGGCGATGATGATGGTGATAGTGATGATGCTGATGATGATGGTCATGATGATTATGATGATGATGGTGATGGTGATGTTGATGATGAAGATGAAGATGAAGCTGATGACGATGATGATGCTGATGATGATGACGATGGTGATGATGATGCTGATACTGATGCTGATGATGATGATTATGGTGATGATGCTGATGATGGTAATGATGATGATGATGATGATGATGATGATGGTGATGATGATGATGATTATGATTATGATTATGATGGTGATGATGATGAAGATGAAGATGAAGATGATGATGATGACGATGATGATGATGACGATGATGATGTTGATGATGATGACGATGGTGATGATGATGATGATGCTGATGAGGGTGATGGTGATGATGCTGATGATGCTGGTCATGATGATTATGATGATGAGGTTTATGATGATGATGATGATGACGATGATGAAGATGAAGGTGAAGATGGTCATGATGATGATGAAGATGATGATCATGATGATGATGCTGATGATGCTGATGATGATTCTGACGATGGTGATGATGATGCTGATGCTGATGCTGGCGATGATGATGGTGATAGTGATGATGCTGATGATGATGGCCATGATGATTACGATGATGATGATGATGCTGATGGTGATGATGATGATGATGCTGATGATGATGATGATGATGATGATGATGATTGATGATGATGATGATGATGATGATGATGATGATGATGATGATGATGATGATGATGATGCTGCTGCTGCTGCTGTTGCTGCTGCTGCTGCTGCTGATGATGATGATGATGATGATGATGATGATGACGATGATGATGATGCTGATGATGATGATGATGAGGATAATGATGATGATGATGATGATGATGATGATGATGATGATGATGATGATGATGACGATGATGATGATGCTGATGCTGATGATGATGATGATGATGATGATGATGATGATGATGCTGCTGTTGATGCTGATGCTGATGATGCTGATGCTGATGCTGATGAGGAGGAGGAGGAGGAGGAGGAGGAGGAGTTGGGGGAGGAGCGAGGTTGACGAGGGTGATCGATGGTTGAGATGTTTGATTTGGGAGGAGGAGGAGGAGAAGGAGGAGGAGGAGGAGGAGGAGGAGGAGGGCACTCTGCTGATCCATCGGCGCCATCGGCGCTCTATCGCCGATTCCAGGCCATCGTTTCCCAGCCAGTCCCCCCATGTCGACCCCCATCATCCCCATGCGATGACGGCCACTCGGATGGGCTTGTCGAGCGCACCCCTTGAGGATGGCTACTCGATGCCCATGATGGATCTAGACGCCTGCAAGCGCGCCTGCGCCATGGACGGGCCTGCTGCGGGCGTCTCGTTCGGCGCCTTCGTGGTCCACGGCGGCTTCGTCTGGTTCCGCCCGCAGCCCGTCGGGGAGTGCCGAAGGAGCCCCGCCCCACCCCCCCCCTCCTTCGCTGTGCAGGACGGGGGTCATTGAGGGACAGAGCTTGCGACCCAACACGGCCACGAGGACTGGGCCCCCCACGTCGAAGACAAGGCGTGCTTGAAGAAAAGCAGAAGCCAGGCGCTGTACAGTCGACCCGCAGAGTAAGGATAGGCATCCCTCCCAAGGGTACCCTTGCATCCTTGCTTCCTGGGTCCATCCTTGGACACTTTCGTTGGCCCGCCCCGCTCGAAACGCTTCGAAATGGGCGTCCAAGGGCATTGCACCCTTATCGCGCATCCTTACTCTGCGGGTTGACTGCACGAGACGAGGTCGAAGCACAGCACGGCGGCCGCAAATGGTGGCGAGAGCGGGGCGCAGGCACGGGGGCCGCGGCGCACCGCGCCCGACCCCGCAGTGGCCGTGCCTGGAGCGAAGTCGGGCCTGTCCCTCCGCGAGGAGACGAAAGAGCATGAGGGGGATGAAGAAGGGGGAGGAGGAGGACGGGGAGGAAGAAGGGAGGAGGAGGAGGAGGAGGAGGAGGAACATTCGAGAATGGTTCGGGGGTGGACAGCCCTCCTGCCTTGACACGTCGAATAAGGAATTGGCCGTTTACGGTTCGCGAGAGGGCGTCGCGGCCGTCATTTTTGCGGGTCCAGGTCCGTCGGTTTCGGTCACAGGCCGTGTTCACTAAGGGGAGGTTTACTAAAGGGCGGTTTATCTACCCAGTTTGGAATCTGTCTTGATTATCTTTTAATCTTTCGCCCAGAATCCACCTGGAGGGGGTCATGCCCGACCGAAGCCTTGAGGGAAAGAGGTCCCGGAGGTTCTTCCCCGTTCCTGGGCTCCCAGGCCCCCCCTGGGCCCTGGGCCGTCAAACGACGATTCGGGACGAACAGCCTGGTCTCGAGGGAACGGCCTGTCGAGCCCGGGCAGGGTGGCAGCACGGTCGTCCCGATGCCCGCCCCCTGGAGGTCTGCCCCAGAGGTGCCAGATTCCCCAGGCCGTGCGTGCGCGTGGGGCCTCCCCTCGCTCCGCTGCCTGAGCAGCGCGACGGGGTGGGTCACCCGGGGTGCTCGCCTCCGGGCCTCCTGGAGGGGGTCGGAGCAGACGGGGTCGGAGCATCGCGACGCATCGCCGGAGCAGATGGGAGCGGAGTCGACGGGGTCGGAGCGGGTGGGGTCGCAGCATCGCGCCACACCGCCGATGCCCCGCGTGCGCGCCCCGGCTTCAGAAGGGCGCGCGTCCCGGGGGCCGTCGCCGCGCGAGCGCCAGCGTGCCCGCCCGCGGGCGCCCCGCGGGCGCCTCGCGGAGGCTGCCGCCGCGGAGCGCCCGCGCCGCACAGCTCACGCCACGCGTGGCCTCCGGGAGACGTGGCCTGCGCCGCGCGGCTGGCGCGGCGCAGCGTACACGGCGTGGCTCGCCCGGCACGGCCTGCACACGGCACGGCTTCCGCAGCACGGATACGCGTCATAGCCTGCCCGAGGGTAGCTCACACATGATTACCCAGCTCACACCAGGCGGCTCAGACACCACAGCTTGCACGACAGGTGCTGCACCGCATAGGTTTCACCGCATAGCTTGCACCACACAGCTTGCACACCATGGCTTGCACCACACGGCCTACACCGCATAGCTTACACAGCATAGCGTACACCACATAGCTTGCACCGTATGGCTCACATCACCGCTTACACTGCATATCTTGCACACCGTGCCTTACACCACATAGCTTACACCGCATACCTCACACCACACAGCTCACGCACCATAGCTTACTCCGCATAGTTCATACACCTGAGAGATTGCACTGCGTAGCTCACACCGCATAGCTTACACCGCCTGTATTACTGCCTGTGTTACTGCATTCCATCTCCACAGTGTTAGATTTCAATGCTCGGGGTTCACGCTGGCTAAGATTGGACTGCGCCCCTCAGTTTGGCAAGAGGCAAGAGTGGGGGCCTGCAGCCGTTTGGTTGCCAAGTCGGCGGCAGGTGCGTCCACTGAGGCCGAGGGAAGCCGCGCGTAGCCAATGGAGCCTGCGGCGGTGGCGCCAGTCGCGGGCCTGCCCGGCGCCAGGGCACCGCATTTCGACCTGCTCTCTCTGCCGGTCGAGGTCGTGCCGCTGGTGCTGGATTGCCTGGACAGGCGCGGGCTGCGCATGCTGCGTCGGACCGCGCAGCTGGGCGAGCTCGCACACCAGGCGCGTGTCGCGGAGCTCCGGGCGGCAGTGCTGGAGCTTCTGGAGCTCACTGTCTTCCCTTTCACCCACGCGGCCTACGTGCTCGGCCTCAACGGTCTCTACTACAGCTACGACACCATCGCGGAGAACCACTACGGCATCCCGAAGGAGCTGCCGCCCCTGCTGTGCGAGCTCTTTCGCCTGGCCGCCCCCTCCGTGCCCTTCACAACGCTCCGCGTCCAGAAGCTGGACGCGGCCGCCAACTTCGGCGGCAAGCACCGCACCCTCGCCTTCAGCCTGGGGGAGCCGACGCTCGACGGCGGCCAGAAGGAACCCGAGGGCCCGTCGGCGCAGACGGAAGGCAGCGACAGGGGCCATCTCCTATGCCTCACGGCTGGCTGCAAGGGGGGCCGCTGCGAGCTCCGCGAGGACCTCGGCCAGGGCGACTGGCAATTGCTCGCCGCACCGACGGACGCCGCCAGGTGGCGGCCGTTCCCCCGGTGCAGCTGGCTGCAGTGGCATTGGCCGACCAGCGGAGCCTTCTACGCCATCACCGCCACGTGCGAGCCGCCTGCGCACCGCGGGCAGCTCACGCGGCGCGACCGGCGGCGGATGGCCGCCACGGGCTTCCTGCTGCCAGACGCCGCGGACGGAGAGAGCAGTGACGCTGAGTCTGGAGGCGACGGCTGCGCGTGCGCGGACGGCGGGGCGCCTGCGGCCAGCGCGGGCTCCGGCGCGGCCTCCCCCACGCGGCGCAGCCAAGCCGCCGTGGCGGCGGCGGCACGGCTCCTGGGCCTCGAACCGGGTGCGCCCCCGCCCGCGTGCGTGGTCGAGGAGGCCTTCCGGCGCGCGGCGCGCGCGGCGCACCCGGACCGCGCCGCGGGCGGAGAGCACGGCGGGCTGGCGGCCCGCACGCAGGGCTGGGCCATTGATGGGCCCATTTTCCAACACCACGACCACAGGGAGGACGGGGAATGAGGAGATCTCATCCTCCTCCTCCTCTCCTCTCCTCCTCCTCCTCCTCCTCCTCCTCCTCCTCCTCCTCCTCCTCCTCCTCCTCCTCCTCCTCCTCCTCCTCCTCCTCCTCCTCCCTCCTTCCTCATCCTCCTCCTCCTCCTCTCCTCCTCCTCCTCCTCCTCCTCCCCTTCCCCCTCCGCCTCCCCCTCCCCCTCCCCTCCCTCTCCCCCTCCCCCTCCCAAGTATCCCATGGCCGTGGTGGAACATCGGCCCGTCGGCCATGGCGCAGCTGACCTGGGCGCGGCGCGTGCTCCGGGACGCGGCGGCCGAGGGCGGGGGGCTCGCCGCCGGCGGGGCCGCCGCGCGGGAGGGCTCCCCGGCGCCCCGCGAGGAGGCGGGCCCTCCGCAGGAGGGCTCCGCGGCGGCGCCGGCGGGGCCGCTGGCGCTGGCGCTGGGCCCGGGCGGGCCGCGCTGAGGGCGCTGAGGGTGCCCCCGCAGCAGAGGGTCTGGGCGCCTCGCCGCAGGCGGGGCCCTTGCGCCTTTTCCTCCTCTCTCCTCCTCCTCCTCCTCCTCCTCCTCCTCCTCCCTCCTCCTCCTCCTCTCCTCCTGCCCCCCCTCCTCCTCCTCCTCCTCCTTGCCCTCCTCTTCCTCCTCTTCCTCCTCTCTCCTCCTCTCTCCTCCTCTGCCTCCTCCTCTTCCTCCTCCTCTTCCATGTACTTATTCTCCCCCTGTTCCTCCTCCTTGCCCTCCTCCTCCTCCTCATCCTCATCTTCCTCCTCCTCTTCCTCCGCCCTCTCCTCCTCCCCCTCCTCCTCCACCTATTTTCTCTCTCCTACCGGTGCCACTGTGAGCCGCGGGCCGCGGGGGGAGGGGACCCCCGCATCCGGGAGACGTGTAAGACTCGGGCACGGGTGACTTTGGTTGGTCTGACGTGGCCGCCATGGAAATGACGAGTCCCAGTCTGAAGTGAGGAGGCCGTTCTGCTAATACATTTGTCTGTTTGTAGATGACCACGAGAGAAGGGAGGCCTTCCCATGAAAGGATTTCGAGAATCTGGGAGCCTTCTGGGAGCCTTTGCGAGCCATTCCGGGGCCCTCGTGGGGCCTCTCTTGGGGGCTTCCCTGCATTTGGGGCATTTTGACAGGATGGTGCCCTGCACAGTGGAAATCCATGCCAAGAAACATCCTGGTTGCCTCCAGGGTGCCCTGGGTTTCTTGGGTTTGATTGTTTTCCTATGGGAAGGGTGACGTGCCCACACCACAAATCAATGGGCGTCCTTGGCTTTCAGGGTTGGGCGTTTGGTGTGGAAGGTCTCGTGTGGTCGGGCCCCTATTGTAGCTCTTCTGAGCCCCCTCTCTGAAGCCCCTCTGAGGGCCCTCTTTGGGGCCGCTTCGGCTGTCTTGGGCCGCCTTGTGGGCCTCTTCGTCCATCTTGGGGCCCCCTTGGGCCGCCGTGGGTGGGGCGCTCTCGGGAGCCTCTCGGGCCGTCTTGGGTAGGTGTAGCGGCCTGTTTGGCCGTTTTGGGTTGTCGGAAACCCAGTAGGGCGAGAACACGAACATTTTTCAAAGCCAGCAGGATCATCAATTATTAATCGCTTCGCTCATTCCGCCCGCCCTGGAGCCCTCTTTAGGGCCTCTTGGGGGCCTCTTGAGGACCTCTTGGGAGGCCTCTTGGGGCTCCTTGGCGGCGTCTTGGGGGCCCCCAGGGCCTCTTGGGGGGCTTTTGGAGGCCTCTTGGGGCGGGAGGGGGGGTGGTCGATTGCCGCTCCCCCTCGGAGGCCACGATCCTCGTGCAGGGTGTCGGAAAATGGCCCTCCCCTGGAGTGCTCTGGTGGCTTCTCCCAGGACCTTGCCGGGGTACTTC